CAATGAAGCCTTCTCGGTCTATCCGGGAAAATCCAACAATCCAGGGGACATCATCAAAGGACGTACCTTCCGTCGCCTGAATGTCACCCGGAAAATCATCATCAAAGATGTCCCAGACCTCATCACATCAGCGCTAAACATGCAGACTTTTGCATTGGGGCAAAAGTGCGTCCGTCAATGCAGAGGCAGTCCCATGGGCAGTCCCCTCTCGCCTGCCCTATGTCTGATGGTTGTCTCCATCAGTGAACAAATCTGGTCCATCACCTTCAATCAACTTCTTTCCAACCACAACTTGTTCATCCGCCACATCCGCTACGTCGACAACCGTCTCATTTTTGGAGACAAACGCCTCACAGAACTTGCACCATATGAAGTCCTTCTCGATGATGGCTTCTACGGTAAACCCATCATTCTTGAAACTGAACCTGACCGAGAATTTCTTGGCTTCATGCTTGAAACAAAACCACTGGAGCTGATATATCAGGGACCGACGAATGTGTCTCAAGTCCTTTCGCCGTTTTCAGCATCTCCTCCCAATGTTCTGCTCAGTGGTTTCCGCTCACGCTGCCACATTGTCATCAAGGGTGCCTTCCCTGAATTTCGAGTTCAACAAGGTCTTGACCAATTAATTAATTTGTACACACGTGCTGGATTTCCCAAGGAGGAACTCCGAGCCATTTCCAATCACATTTTGATTCAGCATCAGAACCTTCAGCCGCCAAGTCAAACAAGAGCTGCCTGTTTGCCACGTCGCGTTTCCGCTTCTTTTGGTTTTTCCTTTTCTTCCTCCTTTTTGTTGTTCCTTCCTTCCGTTTTTTCCTTGTCTCTTCCTTCTCCTGTTGTCTTAGGTATCTTCTTGCAGCTACTTGGCTCAATTCCCGCTCCACCCCGGCTTCTCTTGGTTTTGTATTGATCATCATGGACCACGCTCAAGGTCGTGCTTTCCATCATCACCTGGCTCGGGCCATTATGCATCTGAACCACTTGGCTGGTCTTCTTCCTTTCTTCGAACCTTCCATTGAATGGGACGACTCCATGCCTTCGTCACACTTCCGCTTGGAACGTCCAACATCAAGGGGCCTCCACACGTTTGTTCCCCTGCCTCCTTCATCACATCCACCCACAATGGTGTCACATGGAGGCATCCCTTCACAGATGATTGTGAATCCTGAACCGAACCTACGTCCTTCCACAATGCATCGCTTCCCTCATGGGGATGATGACCAACCACATTCCAGGTTCGAATACTGAAGCCCGAAATCCAGTTCCCATAGCAGGACACGCTATGGATCTATCTCCAGGCACCTCAATTGTCGTTGAACCACCTCGGGCTACGACGAGGACCACGGTACCAGTACCTGTTCGGTCCAAACAACTGGCCTCATCAACTGAGGACCCACAACCGAAGAAGAAACAAAAATCAATGTCGGCTCCAGAATCCACTGCCACTGTAAAGTGTGGCCGCCCTGTTCCTCTTCCCATCATCTCCAAAATCCCTCACGAAGGTTTCAACTCTGATGATTCAGATGATGACGCGGCATCCGGTGCTGCTTCCACACATGATCATCCGGACACGAACCTCAAGTACAGCACCACCGTGCCACCCAACACCACTTCCACTACACCACCAGGCACATCAACACCACTCACCTTAACACCGAATCCAAATGCAACCATCCGCATCCTTCAACCAAACCCTGCTGATCCTCCGCGTGATCCACCATATCGTCCTTGGACACAAAGTCCCGTCCTTCGTGGAAGACGATCGGAGCTCGACTTCGTCGTGATCCGCAGGTGTGCAAACTGAGATGGGGAATCTTGAAACAAACGGACCAACATGGTCGCGTTCACCCGCCTCATGAACCAGAGGCTGAGGACTAAACGGCACTGACATTCCATCCAAGAAGAAAAAGTGTGCACCTGCTGTTTGCCTGCTTTCTCTTTCGTTTTTCCTTTGTCCTTTCTTGCATTGATCTTTCTCTTCTTTTCTTCTCTTCTCCTCCTCCTTCCCCTCTTTTCCTCCCTCCTTCTTTCTTCTTCTCCTTACCGACTGCATGTTGTGTTAGGTTGCTCTTTCTCCAGCAAATATGGCTCACTCATCCGATTACGTACGCATTGCCCCAGATCGCTCCCGCTCACGGGACGAACCCATGGGGCAGCATCGTAATCCACAGCGCCGCAGTCAATTTCGCGATGCATGGCATGATGTACCACCAGTACCTCGACTCCGGAAAGTACTCGTCATCGTCAATCTTGACGCAGTTCGTCCACTCATGATCAAAGTCCATGATGATGTCATGGATTCAACAACATGTGATGCGTTGCCTGCTCTTGGCAGAAATGAAGAACTTGCTTTGTTCACCTACCATGTCCTGATCCACACATATCAAGTGGAAACACTCACGGTGTACAACCTGCCGTACTACATCAGCCAACACATCCGGTACACGTGGGATCGCTACCTGCCTCCTTCTTCTATGGACCTCCGTTGGCAAGACCAGACTGGGGACACCTTTGCCCTTCGCAATGAGGACCGCCTGATTGAACTTCTCAATGAATTTCGTCCTCATTGGACTGAAGGCCAAGAATTTGGCATCCTATTTCCGAATAACATTCGACATTTCACGTCTCAGAATCAGCCATACATCATGCGCCTGAGTTGCCATGCTTCCATAAATCGGAAAAGTTCACCTTGCGTCATGTTGCAATTTCCTAATCCACAACTTGAATTTCGTCATCATTTGTTTGTCATTACTGTGCATTTACATCATCCCTCTTTCACCCTGTGTCATCCCTCAGCTCTTAGCTTCAGCTTTAATATGACAAAACGTGATTCCTGTCTCGCCGGTATCAACTCACCTCGGGCACCGACGAGCATGCAACGTCGTCATCTCCAGTTCGAGGGGCAATCTAGCAGTGGTGCCACATCCTCAGGTCAAAGACCCCAACCAAGCGGCGCGATGGACAATTTGTCCCCACAATCCCATCCAGGGATAGATCATAGCGGCAGTTCGTCGTACTACGGGTATGCGTCAACTACCCCGTCTGTTCCTCTACCTGATGTTCCTGCCCACCATATCCCAATGCAGCCTTTGTGTGAAGAAGCCTACCCACTCCAGGCGGAGATATCGAACAACAGCATCGAATTCTCCATACTCACATCTTCACAGAGGTCATATCTCCTCACCAGACAGGAGCCAGTCGCCTCATGGTGACAGAAGTGGATCGTTCCGGTGTGAAACGAAACCGTCAACCGGAGTTCTTCTTCAATGGGATTGTTGGTCACATTCGTGCAGACCGTCGCGGGTGGATAAACTCTTGGGAACAATCTACCCAACTTGCCAACTACTGGCGTCGTCACTTCAATATTCCAGAAGTGCACCATGAGCACGACTCTTGGCAACATCACCCGCAAACGTCTGACAATGCTGATCAACTGGACGAAAGCCAAGAATCAATACCGGGATCAGGGATGGACGACACTGACTCCATCGCAGCCAATGTCGGTACGGCATCGGTTCCAAGTCAGACCCACCAGCTGGCCGCAGTTCTCTGGGACATTCTCAACAATGACAGGGACTCCAATGCTGCGATCCTTGAGAAGCTTGAAAATCCAGGAGATGACTTGAGCACCAACCCGGTCCAGGTCTTTACGGCAACAGACTTGGCCCACCTTGCCAGCCATTTGGCTTTGACGACTCATGTCCTTTCCCAACAGGCCCAGAATATGGAAGAATTGTCCGAAATCGATGACTAACGACAAGCTGAACTTCCTGCCGATGTCGTTCTGAGCAGACCGGATAATTCAATTGCAGATTTCCTCCCTGTATTTTGATTTTGCGTCAATCGCTATATCCTGTTTCAGCGACTAGATAAGAGCTTCGCCAGCTACTTTGCAGTCGCCAAAACAGCCTCGCGGCAGCGAGGCGTGTGTGTGGAACATCTGAAAAGATGTAGAACTTCTAACTCATGCACTGATTGTCATGATTGGCTTCTTTTTATTTTTTGGACTTTTGCCGTCGTTACATTTGTTTAGATGCAGGGGGACCATCCATGTACCGTGTGCGATGGTACAACGAAGCGGCCACAGTACATGCGGATATCACGGCTGATCACCGTGACGTACCTGCCATTTTTTCTGTGATGGGAAGAGGCTCAACCCAAGAACCTCCAAGTCGATTTTCCTTTTCCAAAACGCTTCAAACCAAAACCAAATCATTCAGTTTCATGTCAGCGCCTGTACGGTTTTCGCAATCTGACTGAGTTGCATCAGAACAAGTTAATTCTTCGAGCCAGGACGTAGAAAGAATACCTTCGCACAGTTTCTCACTTCTAATCATTCAACCATTCCTGTCAGGTTTACTGAGGTGTTTTTGCACGTGCGATGCATTCCACATCAATAATTCGATAAGCTATTTCTGAGCAAGTGTGTGTGCGTGTGTGACAGTAGGGGTATATATGTCCCAAAATAACAATTTTTAGATGAAAAAATGCTGATGAAACAGTAGGTTTCTTTAGACGTGTGCACCATATTTTTGGACAAAACCCACAGCAGAAGTGCAGTAGAGTTGATCTCAAGATGATGCGGGAGAGAAAAATCTGCCTTCTACCGAGCCCCTTCCCCACAAGAAATAGGGGCCACGCAGTAAGCAGGAAACCTCCCTGTGGTTTGACCAGGGCAATAAGCAGCTCTGGGCTCAGAGTGGGACCTTATATGAACCCCCAAAATACCCTCCTGCTTACTACTTTGGTTTGGCTGGTTTCTGCTTATTGGGTGTCCCTGAACATATTTCCCATTTACAGACACTGGTGGTCCCACCAGCAAAGTGTTTTGATCTAACAGGATGAAGAGGGTTGAACCTTTGGGTTGTGGTTCAAGAAAGGAAAAAACGCTAAAACTTGGGCGATTTTTCGGGAAATTATTTTGAACCATACCCAGTTGCACTACAAGTTTCACAAGACCGGGCCACGGATAGTTTTCACAGATTGTTTTGGCCCAGGTACCTACACAGCCACCAATCTCTGTGCTGCTTGCTGCTTCCTTTTTGGCATCTCAGACGATGAGTTTGCTTTGCAAGGAGTCACAAAGATGCATGGCATCATGTCCGGTCAGCCGCTGGAATATCTCCCCAGGAGCCTGGAAAACTTGACCTTCGGTGCCCACTTCAATAGAGGCCTCCAGCTTTTGAGCTTGCCCAGCAGGCTGCGGAGCCTGGTCCTTGGCGATGCTTTTGACCAAACCCTGCTGGGCATCAGCTGGCCTGACAATCTTCAGAACTTGACATTGGGATCTTCGTTCAAGAAAAACCTGAAAGATGTGATTTTTCCAAGAGATCTTCGAAACTTGACCTTGGGTGCCTTTAGCGCATCCCTGAGTGATGTGAACTTTCCGAACAGCCTTCAGAGTCTGGCCTTGAGACGGCTCCGCTCACAGAGCTTGGTGGCCTGGGTTGATGTAAAAGATCCAGCAGAGTTTTTATGGCCTTGGGGTCATGTTTACTAATTTTGATAATTTTACTAGGATAGAGCTTTTTGAAGGCAGAACAGGGAAACAGGGGGGGCCCTAAGCATGCTCGAGGTTGCTGGAACAGGTTACCTGAAGCCTGAACATGACATAGAGACATCCAGTATGTTTCAGAGCGACTACCAGTGGCAGGTTTTTTGATTTCGAACAGTTTCGGTTCTTAGTTTGGAAGGTTGCCGGTTGAAAATCTCCCAGGCTCAGACAGGTACTTCCTGACTTCCCGTGGTGGTGGGATGTCCCAAACTTGACCTGTCCAGGTGGGCGTATCTTTGCCCTGCAAGCTGAGAGACTTGACCCTTGGGGATTTCTTCAACGCGAGCCTGAATGGAGTGAAACTTCCTAGTAGCCTACGAAGCCTGACGTTTGGGAAACACTTCAACCAAAGTCTGAAGGATGTGAGGTTTCCCAGCAGCCTTCAAATCCTAGAGCGACTTGACTCAATTCCGGTCTCCGGTGGATTCTCGCTTTTGGATCTGTTTCCTGGACGCTGAGAGGCCGAAACGCCCAAAATGGCCAGTAGGATCTAGAGCGATTTGGTTATGGGTCAAAACCTTGGTACCCAGACTTTCAAGCCAAAATAGCTGGTAACGCAGACTCTCACTCCAAAATAACTGTACTTACAGTCATGTCTATGTGGGATTGCTGCTCCTCCCCATCAACGCTGAACATTTCCCCCCAACAAACGCAGCTCTGCTTGATGCTCTGCATCAAGGTTTGGGGAGGCCTTCGACCAGCGCTTGACGGAGGTACGCTTTCCCAATTTGACGAGCTTGACCTTTGGTGACAAGTTCAGCCAAAGCTTGCTGCGGTTGGAACTGACCCACTTGGAGACCTTGGTGCTTGGAAGTGGCTTCACTGGGAGCATAGATCAGTTGAACGCCATGGTAAGTCTTCGACACTTGACCTTTGGAGGCTTCAAAGAGCGGAACCTGAACAACATAAATCTGCCCGGTGGTCTTCAGACCTTGACCTTTGGTCCTCTGTTTAATCAAAACTTGGAGTGCTTGACTTTGCCGAGCGGTCTTCAACACTTGACCTTTGGTGCGTCGTTCAATCAGAGCTTGGCAGGTGTGACGTTGCCAAGCAGCCTTCAGAGCCTGACTTTTGACCGAGACTTTAACTTCCGGTTGCAGGGTGTGACCTTCCCAGAAAACCTCCGGAGCTTGACTTTTGGCCGCGGATTTGATCAGAGTTTGGAGGGTCTGATCTTTCCCAGCTCTCTGGAGACCTTGCTTCTTGGTTCATTATTCAACCAGCCCTTGACGAATGTGAACTTCCCCAGCAGTCTGCGATCTCTGACCTTTGGTACCAGGTTTAACCTGCCCATAGCAAATGTGATCTTACCCAGGGGTCTTCAAAGCTTGAGTTTTGGGCAACAATTCAACCGAAGCTTGGAGCACTTCAACTGGCCCAGCCTCCAAAGTTTCTGGTTTTTGATTTCAAACATGTTCAATCATTTTCATTTATGTATTGTCCAGCCCCAAAACTGGGATGATACTACTTGACAAACATTTTTCTTGGATGGCTGCACTGAACCGCCAGGTTTGATGTTTGGCAGCAGCTTCAATCAGAGCCTGGAACGTGTAGACTTGCCGATGAGTCTTGAAAGCCTGTGTTTTGGTCATCGCTTCAACCAGAGCCTGGAGGGCGTCCGGCTCCCAGTGAGCCTCAAGACATTGGTCTTTGGAAGCGATTTCAACCAGAGCTTGGAGGGTGTCACCTTTCCAAGTGGCCTTGAGACGCTGAAGTTTGGACAACAGTTCCAGCAGCCCCTTGAGACCTTGGCCCTCCCGAGCTTGCGAAGCTTGACCTTGGACCGCTATGACGTTGCGCTCTTGGAAGCTGTGCAGTGTCCGCAGCTCCAATGCCTGGAATGTCAAGGCGTTTTGCTAAGTACTGAATCTGAAGATCCTTCAGAGCGGTGAATGAGCGAGGGATGGCAATGGTACAAGAACTGCTTGAAGTGGTCAACTGACTGCCACGGGTAACTGGCACGTTTTGAGGCATGTTTTCTGGCCTGGGATGGTTTCCAGATTTCGGTGGACTTGTAGCCAATCATTCAAGCAGTCAATGGTGCCGGGCCCATGTCGGGCGTTGAAAGAATTCTGGGAGTTCAAGCATTGGTTTCCCAGTGGACATGTAAGCTGCGTGATGATGAAGTGATTTTTTCCATGGGTCCCGTCCAAATGGACAGAATCACAGGGAAACTGAAGGTTTGTTGGTTATATCTCCCGTTTCAAAGGGTGGCATCCTACCTCCAGTACTGAACCAATATGAATCATGCAGTCTTCATCAGATCATTTCACAACCTTACCGCCTCAACATTTCAAAAACCAAGATCTGTTCTCAGTTGGCCTGCTATGAGCACCATCCAGCAATGGTTCGGGTCTGAATTTGACATCCAATGGATCCAATCAAAGCCTGTTATTTTTTCAATGGCCACAACGAGCATCTGATGGCAGATCACTGGGATGCTTGGTGTTTTTTCCCTCTGAAATCCTGGGGATCCAACGCTAAGAAGGAGCAGTTCTACGTGATTTGGCACGTGGAGTGGGATGCGGTGAAGGGTGAAGGCTTCAGCACCTTCAGCGCCTCGGCGTAATGACCATAGCGATCGTTAAGGGGAGTTATTCCAAAAAATAGGCTCGGTATGTGTCGGTATACCAGATACCACTACAAGGCAGCCATTTAAAAAAGGACATCTGGGAAAATTCATATGGGAACATGATGCTTCAGCGATTTTTGTGGCTTACGGGCCGGGCGAATCATTCCCATATCATCACACATTTCAAGTTAGTAATAGAAAACTATGGTATTGGGATGTATTGGGAATCACTATCACCAACAAATAACCAAACATTTGGAACTTTGGAAAGTACTGCATATTCCCTCAAATGCTTGCGGTAGATGGCGTTAGATTGAAGCCATAAACTTGGTTTTAATCGAATTGGGGCATATTGGGGCATCATTTTCTATTTCTTTTTTGGGTAGATTGAGGGAAATCACGGCTCGTTTTTTTTTTTCGACAATTTAATTTTATATGTTCCATCCTAGTATGATTCTCCCGTCCCATTCGCAAAGATATCTCTGAGATGGATTCTGAAACCTCCAGGATATGTCCGGATGGTATCTACAGTTAGAAGTTCAGAATTTACTATCCAAGATAAGGGTAGCCTGAAATAGGTGGTTTCCTGAAATAGGGGTGGCCCCAACTCATTCATTTTCATGGGATTTTCATCGGATTTTCCCCAACAAAGACCATCCAGCTATTGGGGTACCCCCGCTTATGGAAACCCTCAGATCAGCACAAATTACTGTCCAAGATCATGATTACCATGATATATATATTACTATCCAGATCATTATGTATCATTATGCAATATATATATGATAACAAATCACACGCAAATTACTGTCCAGATTACCGTGTATATTATATTGGATATGTTTCGGATGTTCCATCCCACTCGAATATTGACCCCCCATTGACGACCATATTTTTTTTGGTGGCTCACCAGCAAAAAAAATGGATTGTTGGTGAGCAATCCAATTTTCATTGGTGCTGTAATCATACGTATGTATCTGGCGCCCTTTCGAAATCCAAGAGCCAACTAAATAAGTAGATCGACCATTTTTGGTGTTGAAGCGTGCAATGGTTGGTGCTAATGATTGGGCCATACCCGTATATGATATGTCATCATTGCAATCCGAGATGATTGAAAGCCAACTCCGCCGTTGGCACCTAGGCGACGCGGAACGAAAATTCGACCAGTTGCTGGAGGTATACAAGGCCAGATGCAGAAAGGTCAAGATTTACCTCGAAGCTCCAAGGATAGGTGTGGGAACTTAAGGCGTAGAAACCACATAGATTTTGATCAAATTTGGTCATATAGAAGAGGTACCCAATCAGTACTCAACCAATTTAAAACAAGCCAGGAAGTTTCTGGGGCACGAATGTCAGGCCAATTTTTATGGTTGGAAGTGTTTGTTATGGAAACCCCGGTGGCCCAGCTATAATCATAATTTGGGAGACTGCGGGGATTCTATTGGGCACTATGATCTGTACTTGTTCAAAGTGCAGTACTTGAATGAGCATCTAAACCAGTTGGTGTTTAAGAACCTTGGCTAGCAAGTCCTATTTAGATATTCAACTTACAAGGTGTTTTTTCTTGGAAACCATTGTATTTTGGGGCAATAAGTAGCTCTGAACCTTATACAGACACAATATTGCTGTGAAAATGATAGGATGAAGTTCGTTCGCCCTGGTAGATGCAAAATGGTGCGATGGTTTGAATGGCTGGGTGCTCATCATTCGCCCCATCCATCCTGCTGCTGCTGCTGCTATTACTATTGCTATTCCTATTGCTGTTGCTGTCGCTATTACTATTACAAGTAGTACCTGGGCAAGCCGGGGACGGAAGTTTCAAAATGGAAACGTTTATAGCTTATAGAGCGGAACAAAGACTGTGCCTATAGGATGCGGGCAAGCCTTCTGTGCTTCGCAGCAACAATCTCTCAACCTTTCATTCTGGTGCGATCTCTTTTCAAGGTTGGATCTTTTCTCATCTCATCTGATCTCATCGCAGCTTCTCTTGGAAATTGCTCAGTGCATCCCATTGTCACCGCAGTCTGCGTCATCCCATCTCATCTCATCCCATCCCATCTCATCCCATCTCATCATCTCATGTCTTCTCTGCTTTTTGTATTTTTCCTTTTTCTCATCTCTTCTCATGTCACCTGAGCTTTTCTCATCTCTTCTCATCTCATCTGAACTCTTCTCTTTTCAGCTCTTCTCAGCTTCTCCATTCTACGCAGCTCGTCTCAACTCAACTCTTCTCAGCTCTTCACCGCTCTTCTCCTTTCAGGTCGTCTCAACTCATCCCATCTCATCTCATCTCAGCTTATCTCAGCTTTTATCAGATTTTCACAGCTCTTCTCAACTCTTCTCAGCTCCCCGCAGCTCATGTCAGCTCATCTTATGTCTTCTCATCTCTTCTCTCATCTTCTCACATCTTCTAAGCTCTTCTCAGATCTTCTCAGCTGATCTCAGCTCTTGTCAGCTCTTCTCAGCGCACTCTCAGATCATCTCATCTCCCCTCTGGCCCAAAACCTGCTCCAAAAACGGATCTCGGCGCCAAAGCAAGCGGCCCCCCGGCGACCCCTGCGCTTTTCCACAGAGAAGCTTTTACACAGAAAAGCTTTTTCACACAGCAAGCTTTTACACAGAGAAGCTTACACACAGAAGCTTTTAGACAGAGACAGGGAAGCTTTTACTCACAGCAAGCTTTTACACAGGGAAGCTTTTACACACAGCCAGCACTTACACACAGATTTTTTTACACAGAGAAGCTTTTACACACAGCAAGTTTTTACAGTAGGAAGCTTTTACACACAGCAGCTTTTACACAGAGAAGCTTTTCACACAGAAGCTTTCACACACAGAGCCTTTTATGTACTAGTTTGTGCAAAAGACATCCCAGTATTACTTTGCACTACAAAGGCTGAAAGGCTGCACAAAGCACTTCCCGGTACTACTGTGTACTACAAAGCTCGCAGAAAACACTTCCCAGTACTCTTTGTACTACAAAGCTCGCGCAAAAGTACTTCCCAGTAGTACTTTGTACTGCGAGGCTTGCACAAAGTGTTCTTCCTGGTGCTACTTTGTACTACAAAGCTTGCACAAAGTACTTCCAAGGACAACTTTTTACTACTTTACAAGACCTGCATTTTTTTACACACAACAAGCAAGCTTTTACACAGAGAAGCTTTTACACAGAGCAAGCTTTTGCACAGAAGCTTTTACACAGAGAAACTCTTGCACACAGAAGGCTTTTACAAACAGAAGCTTTTACACAGAGCAAGCTTTTACACACAGGAGCTTTTACACACACACACACAGCACGCTTTTACACACAGAAGCTTTTACACACAGCAAGCTTTTACACAGAGAAGCTTTTACACACAGAAGCTTTTAAGCAGAGACGCCTTTACACACAGAAGCATTTACACAGAGGAGCTTTTACACACAGAAGCTTTGACACAGAGGAGCTTTTACACACAGCAAGCTTTCACACACAGAAGCTTTTGCACAGAGGAGCTTTTACACACACAAGCTTTCACGCACAGTGGCACCAGAATTAGCACTGAAGCAAAATAAAAAGGATGATTTTGAAGGACCTTCAAAAGGAATTTTAAAAGGAAAATTACAGCGCCAAAAAGGGAAAGTCCGCTGACAAATCACCCTCGCAACCTGGATGCAGCCACTCCAATACGATCCACGATGCCCAGCTGCAAAAGACCACAGTATCACACACGCAGCCGCAGCACCAACGAACCTTGTGAAAACGAAGCTCTCGTGTAAGTGAAGGTTGAACATGTAAAAACGAAGCTTTCGTGTGAGACTTCCCACAAAAAGTGAAAATTGAAGGCTTTCGTGCGAGACCTCCCTCCAAATCTGAAAGTTGAAGGTGTGAAAACGAAGCTTTCGTGCGAGACTTCCCCCAAATCTGAAAGTTGAAGATGTGAAAACGAAGCTTTCGTGCGAGGCATCCCTCAAAAAGTGAAAGTTGAAGCTGTGAAAACAAAGCTTTGTGCGAGACTTCCCTCAAGAAGTGAAAGGTGAAGATGTGAAAACAAAGCTTTCGTGCGAGACTTCCCTCCAAAACTGAAGTCTTTGCTGTGAGATCTCTTTGCTGTCAGATCTCTTTGCGGCGAGATTCTTTGCTGTGAGATCTCTTCGCTGTGAGATCTCTTTTCTGTGGGATCCCTTTGCTGTGAGATCTCTTTGCTGTGAGATCTCTCTGCTGTCAGATCTCTTTGCTGTCAGATCTCTTGTGTGACTTCAATGACTTGCAAAGATCCGTACCACGGAAGTTAGACATCCAAACTTCCTTTGACTATTGCTAATGCTATTGTTTTTACCTTTGCTATTGCTATTGTTTTTGCCATTGCGATTGCTATTGCTCTTACTAGTGCTAGTGCTATTGCTAATGCTAGTGCTATTGCTTTTACTATCGCAATTACTATCACTATGCTTCTGCTATTGCTATTCCTATTGCTAGTGCTATTTCCTTTTGGTATTTTTAGTGCTATTGCTATTGCTATTGTTTTTACTACTGATATTGCTAGTGCTATTACGATTACTATTGCTATTGCCACT